GAGAGAGAGAGAGAGAGAGAGAGAGAGAGAGAGAGAGAGAGTGAGTTATGATTCTGGTTGTTTGTTGCCTGAAGGCCAACACTCACTCACAGAGACTTCCAGGTATGCCCATACATACACAAAAGGAAGGGGAGATGATAGGAGTATCACACCGCACAGGGCGAGAGAACACAACGGAAGACTTGACCATGCGATATGACATTGTACACTGAAAGTGCAATTCACTCCACTCAATCCTCACAACAAATCATAGAGAAAAGCTGAGCAGATCACATCCAAGGAACAATGAAACGAAGATAGTCCAAACCCAGTTATACATTGTTTATTAAACTCAAGAGTCTCGAAATGTCAGGATAACTTCAGAACTGCAGTGCGCTACTCAGAGATGAGCAGCACTTCACTCCCCAACCCTGGTTAACACCCGGAACACCCCTGAGCCCCTGAAACATCAAGCGCCACCCAGATACAACCTCCTGAGGGAAGCGCCACCCTGAAATAGGCCTCTGAGGCCAAGCGCCACTCAGAGGATGAAGAAGAAGACCAGCGCCACAGTATCTGATGATGACGAAGTGTCAGAAGACTTCCCGGGTGGAAGTCTGCAGCAGCGCCACCAAACCCTGACAAGATGACCTCTGAGGAAGAAGCTGCAGCTATGGCTGCAGCACCGCAACCCTGGAACCCCACTCCGGAGGAGGGTCCAGCAGGGCACCAATCTCTCTCGCCTCCAGCAGACCTCGATAACCCAGACCTCTGTCAGCCCCTGCGTGCGGGCAGAGTACAGCACAGGTCCCAGCTATGGCCGGCGCTCCGAAGGTCTGGCTATGCCTGTCTTTTTCCACGCTGAGCCGTCACCACCTCCGGTTCACGCGAAGTGCAGCCACGATGTACTCGGTACCGAACTGCCAAAAGCCTTCAACCGATGTGCCCATCCTATCTATACTACACTAGCCTAGACTCGACCTAGACCGGACTGACCGACCGGTACCGTTTCTGTTTCGGTCTCTCGGCCTCTACCGGACCCGGCTATAGGCTTTAGGACCGTCTATCAGAGTAGGCCCTCAAGGCCTGTCTGTCCTAGCGGTAGCCCGGGCCTGCTGTTCGCAGTTAGGGTAGCTGTAGGGAATTCTGTTAGTACCGGGACTRCATATTTTCCCGAAATTGCAGATATGTCCCTCACGAATTTCCCTCACAGGTAGGTCTCTCGGTTAGCCCTCAGCCAAACAAAATTGCAAATCCGTCCTACCTATAGTACAGCCTCGACAGAGAGAGGCTACAGGCGACCAGAAAAAGCAAGTCATTGCAGACCTACCCTCCCCCGGAGCGAGGACCTCCGAGATAGGGGCGTAGGCGTGCAGAGCGCCGAAGGGATACTCCCTTTTGTGCTGCCTCATATTTGAGGATAACTGACTTGGCAGTCTTCAAAAGTTCCTTGCGAGTAAACCAGCGGTCCTCAGTATGTGGCTGGTACACGAACTTCACAAGGTACTCCTTATCCGGGCCTGTACCTGACTCATCCTCCACAGATTCGACCTCAGGCCTGTCTGGGAATGCATCAGCTGATGTAAATGGCAACAGCTTCGATGCATGAAACACAGGGTAGGTTTGTAGATGCAGAGGGACATCCAATGTATAGGATGGTCTGAATGGATCGGCTCTCATTGTATCTAAGACCTGCCATGGACCCATGTAACGTGGCAGCAGCTTAGGTTATGTCCTCCTCCCGTGACAGCTCATACCTGAGTACCCACACCCAGCCACCTGTGCGAATAGTAGAGGGACGTCTGTGCTTATTGGCCTGCTGAACCATTGCCTTTTGAGCCTTCAACAGGTTAGCACGGGCGCGCTCAATGTCCACACGGTAACGTCTGGTGAACTCTGCAGTTTCAAGCGTCAACATAGGGGTAGCCTTGTCGATGATATCATCGAGAGGCTGCAGTCGTTCACGACCCCAGTGTAACCGGTAAGGTGTGAAGCCACTAGAGGAGTGTACAAACGTGTTATATACAAGCCGTGCACGACCCAAATGGAGATCCCAGTCCTGCTGATCTGGACTGATCACATGACGCAACAATTGGAATAGAATCTGCTTCATCACTTCAGTTGTCCATTGGCTTCAGGATTACGACAAGATGTCGTATCCAATCTGGAATGAAGGTAATCCCTGCAGTAGGATTGTCATTCATTACTGCAAAAACGAGGATCTCGATCACTGACGATAGAGGTGGGTGGTCCATGATGTGTGACCCACCTGTCAGCAAACGCCGCCTAAACGGCTGGCACACGAGCCTCGGCTGGTAAGGGGATGAACTCTGCATATTTGGAGAACCAGTCTACACATACCATGACCTGACGCATACCACGAGGGGTAGTTCTACCCAAGTCAGTAAAATCAATGGACACTGACTGTGCAAGAGCATCAGGGATAGGTAGTGGTTTGAGCAGGCCAAGGGGAGGTCGACGCACAACCTTGTTCCTTTGGCATAACTCATAGGTTTCCACATAGTGCAGCATGTCACTCCTGATCTCCTTCCAGAAGAAGCGCTGCGACAGGGCTGCATAAGATTTGAGGGCCCCAAAGTGACCACGAGCATCATGACACTCTGACATCAGAAGTGTTCTCAGCTTGCGGTCATGGGGAATGCACAGGCGCTCCTCACCTCTGTTGCAGGTGTATAGCAGACCTGAAACCAGAGTATATCCTAGTTCAGAGGCAGGATCGTCTTGGAGATTCCTCACAATAGGCCTCTCATCTTGGGGCAGCAACCGACCAATGATCTGACGAGTCTTCTCTACAAATGAGTGAGTAGAGGAGATAAAGAAGAGAGCGTCAGGCCTACAAGAAAGGGCATCTGCTACTCGATTGTAGCAGCCCTTCTTGTGTCTCAGTTCAAAGTCAAACATGTCAATGAATTGGATATAGCGAGCAAGCTTGTCATTCAGTTCTCCCTGGGACTTCATCCCCTGCAAGGTGGAGTGATCTGAAAAGATCTTGAAGTGCATGCCCAGGAGGAAGTGCTTCCAATGCTTGAGCGCCGACACAAGAGCATAAAGCTCTTTCTCATAGATAGAATCCTGCAACTTCTTGGTTTTGATCTTCTTGCTCATATATTCGATAGGGTGCAGACCATTCCCATCATCCTGTTGAAGTACCGCCCCTACACCATACTGACTAGCATTAGTAGTAAGCACAAAAGGCAGGGTAGGGTCAGGTAGCTTCAGAACCAGGGGCACAAATCAAGGCCTCCTTGAAACATGTAAAAGCCTCCTAACATTCTGATGTCCAAAGAAAGGAAGTGTCTTTCTTTGTGAGATCAGTCAAGGGAGCTGCAATAGAAGAGAAGTTCTTAATGAATTTCCTGTAGTACGATGCAAGCCCCAAGAATGACCAGACATCACGAATGTTAGCAGGTCGCGGCCAGTCCTGAACTGCAACAACTTTCGTTGCTTCAGGAGCCAACCCCTCTCCAGAAATGACGTGACCCAGGTAGACTACAGAGGGAACCCCAAAAGAGGACTTCTCTCTGTTGATCTTGTAGTGGTTATCACGTAAGGCCTGGTGGACCAGAGCCAGATGCTGCGCATGCTCCTGAATAGAACGACTGAATACCAATATATCATCTAGGTAGACACCAGGTACTCATATGTGCCATACCTGGTTTTGAAGGTTGTCTTGTAGACATCGCCTTCGGCCATCTCAATCTCGTGATAGCCAGATTTGACGTCGATCTTGCTAAAAATGGTACAGCCCTGCACCATGTCCAACAGATCATCAATGCGAGGAAGGGGCTTTGTAGACTTCCTCATTTTGTTGAGACCACGGTAGTCCACGCACATCCTGAACTCACCATTCCCCTGTGGAACAAAGAGGACTGGTGCCCCAAACTCAAATGTGTTGGGCCTGATCCAGCCCTTGCTGGTCAGGGTCTCTAACTGTTTCCTGAGCTCTTCAAGTTCAGCAGGTGACATCCTGTAGACTCGGCCCTTGGGAGGGACCGAACTAGGCAGGATCTCAACCTTATGTTTGGTCTGCCTATGGACAAGTCCGGTAGGCTCCTCCATAAGATCTGAGAGACTGTCTTCAACCTGTTGAATCTGAAAGGGACAGGGAGCAACCTCCACGCCAGTCTGTTTCACATAAGCCACGAACAGACGAGCGTGGTCAGTCTGGCGTGAAAATTGCAGAAATCTGTGAGGACTCATGCAAAAACAACTGCTGGCCGGATGGTACTCATCAGCGAGCATGCAAGGGCGATATACCCCATGCCGGTCAGGTAGCTCAACCCTAGGGATCCGCCAGTCGATCCTAGGATTGGTGGCACCAAGCCACTGCATAGAAAAGACAAGGTCAAAGGGAACGTTAGGAAACACAAAGAAATTCAGGCGATGCCTGATTTCTCCCTGCTCCTCAAAGGACACAGGTAGGCCCTTGACAACAATAGTGATCCTGACTGTGGAAGAGTCTCCTATGCGGACCTCTATTGGCTGTTGCAATTTCACCAATCTATGATGCAAGTGCAGCTTGATGACTGCCTTGGGAGAGATGAAGTTGTGAGTAGCCCCACAGTACAAGAGCCCTTTGATCTTGGCTCCCAGGATAAAGGGTCGAAGTAGGATTAGCTCTGACTTATGCTTTTTCTTCTCCTGCAAAGACAAGAAAAGATCAGCAAGACATTGAGCATCATCCTCCTCCCACGTCTCATCCAACTCAGAGTCTTCAAAAGTGAAAGACCCTGCGGATGCAACTCCAATAAAAGAAGAACCAACGAGAGAGTGTGAAGATTCAACTTCATCAGAAAGTGAATCAGCACTGGTGGAAGGAGCTGTTGCTTCCACCTCTCTCTGCTCTAGTTTTTTGAACTACAGCTGCCTGTAGACCAGCGAGTCATAATGGGACAGTCCTTCAGGAAATGGTCCCCCTCGCATCTCAGGCAGACCCCCTTGTCCCTTCTCTTCCTCCATACCCCCTCCTGGATCCTGAGTGCATGCCAGGGGAAGGTGGAAGGATCAAGGGGATCAACTGGCCATTGGTCGTCACGTGGCAGAGGCACTCTCTGGGCACCACGGGAAGAGGCACGCCCCTTTCCTTTCCCCTGTTTGCTGGTTGATGCTTTCTGGGCTGGGGCCTTGCCCTTTGCCAGGCCCATCAAAGCATCAGCCAGGGCAAGAACAACAAAATCTACAGTAGATGATGAGGCAGTCCCAGGTGGAGGTCTCCCACCCTGGGATGCTGCGTCACTATCTGCTCCTGGCGCTGCAGCAGCAAAGAGGGCACCCTTCCTCCTCCTTCGACCTTTGGAGGAGGGTCCCTTCCTTCCTTCAGAAGGTGCTTCTTGGACATGGAGCTTGGACTCCTAAGTCCAGGGCTGCTCTGCCAAAGGACCACCAGTCCTTGTGGCCCTGAGAGAATAATGCCAGCTGGTATTGCTCAGGCGCTGCACGCAAGAAATGAATGAGCAGATACTGCTCACTCATCTCTAACCCTGGAGTCGAAGTTAGACTCTCAAAGGTAGAATAGAGTTTGGACAAAGAGCCATCAAATTCTTTTGGCCCAGGCGCCGAATTTTATTTGTTGCTTTCCTGGCCTGCTCCTTGTCTGCAAACCTATCCTGCAGGGCCTGCAAAAAACCAGCCACCCTCAGCCTCTGTGCCCAATCAGACCATCTCCATACCTTGCTTGTTGGAGGTGGAGGTGCACCATTTCAGTGCTGATCTCTCCAAGCGAGCAAGGATGGCAGACACCTTGACATCCTCATCACATTTGAAACCACTCAGGTAGGTTCTCTGTGCAGCGACCCAATATGCCACATCCACCTTTGGGTCCTCACCTGAGAACATGGGTGGAGGTGTCAGCTTAGGCCGCTGAAACTCAAATGGTGCTGAGGGTTGTGAAGCTGCTGTTGATTTAGAGGATGGAGATGAGGGTCTGGATTGTGGGGGTTTCTGGGAACCTGCTTGAGATGGCCCAGGAGAGGGAGGAGCTGTCTGAGCAGGGGGGATCTGCAGGTGATCGAAGAGACGGTCCAGCTTGGAAGAAATATCCTTCATCTGCTGAGTATGCTCAGCCATGCTGTCCTCCAAACAAGTGATCCTGGCATCCCATTTAGTAAAATAGGACTGATGAATTTCATCCTGCAGAAGGACGAATTCAGCTATGTCCTTATTATACTGACTGGAACTGTCACTGGTCCTGACCTTCTCTACATCAGCTGTCAGCTCCCTCCTTCTCGTTTCCTTTCTTGCAGCCGCCTCCTTCCTCTTCCTCTGCAACTGCCTGGGCCTGCTGGTGGAGTATCTCCTCCTAGGCCTGCAGTTCAGCCTCTAGAGGGTCAAGCAGAACCGGTGTTTGGGACTGTACTGATATCTTCAGTTGTCCCTAAGGCTTCTCTTCAGAAGTCTCAGCCTGCTTAGACACTTATGCTTTCCCAGAATCAGTCATTTTGGCCACCCACAATACAGATAAATAACAATAAACAAACAATCAAAGACAGTGCAGGAGGTAACAGGAATTGAGGTTTCCCTTCAATACTCACTCAATTGTTGTCACTTGCCTGGAGAGAGAAGATTGGTTAGTTATGAGCAAGTGAGTGCTAAGTCTCAGCAGAACGCTCGAGGGTCAGGGTCAGTTTAGAGTCCACTCAGGCAAAAATCCATTTCACGATTTTTCCATCCCTGCCCTGACACAACAATTGCATGCAATAATTGCAAATCCTGGATCAACAACCGACAAGATGCAGTCTTGGACTGATTAGTGTTGATTAGTAATTGGACAGAGTGACTAATTAGGGTTAGACAGGTGTCCACTGATGACCAAGATGCAGCAATTTACAGGTTACCCTATTTATAGACCTACCCTACAGACTTCACCACTGGATGACCCGAAATGCCATACCATGAATGTGGCGAATTACAGTTTTCACTGTAACGGACTCAGAACATCAAATCTGGATGTGCGATTTCAAACACTGACTGAATACTGAATTGCGATTTACCAGGGACCGAAAGAATTGAATTCTGACAGACAGAATCGAAGTTATGACTGACCCTGGTCCAGCCTAGCTTTAGCTATGTCAGCGCAGAATTCAAATTTGCATGACCACTGAAGACAGGACCCTGAATTCACTAATTCACTACACAGTGTCAATCGCAATACTGTAAAGCAGTCACAAATGAAATATGAGTCAGAAAGAAGGTCAAACAAGGTTAGTAGAAGTCAAAGAGGATAAGTAGGGGAAGTTGGATATGGCTGTCCTTTAGTCTGAATTTCGATTTTCAACTGTCACCTGACAGACAGACCAAATTTCACTATTTTAAAAATAGACTCGGAATCGCCACACAGGATGGAGTGGGGAACACACTTACTTCAGGGTCAACTCTGAAGAAGATGCATGAAACCTTGACTATGGTTGACTGGACAACCCCATCTCGCCAGTTTCATCTCCTGACAGTATCCAGTGTTCCCACGTACCAAATTGCCTGAAACTTGGTGATTCAGCAGATTACCCTGAGGCGCTTCACCCCCAACTGACAGATTCAACAAATCCGGGCTCCCAGGTGCCAATAACTGACAAAGTCAGTGCAGCGCCACATCACCCCGTACTGCGCTGCTTGGAAATTGGGGATCCTGACCCAATTCCACAATCGCAACCTCCTGGGATCACTTCCCTGCCAATCGCCAGTCTCCAGATGAATCGCCAGGCTAAAAATAGCCTCTCATAGCCTTTCAGGCCTCTGAGCACCAATCGCCAACCACTCCTGCACAACCCTAATCAGGAGTGAGTCACGCTCTGCCCAATTCTTCTCTCCACACACTCAAAACCACCACCCTTACCAACAACAACCCTGAAGATGATGAATCGCCATGAGACTCAACTCCAGTATCTCGCCAGATGATGATGGGTGCTCCAACTCATCAATCGCTCCAGAGTCTGGATCCAATTGCTCTGATACCAACTGTTATGATTCTGGTTGTTTGTTGCCCGAAGGCGAACACTCACTCACAGAGACTTCCAAGTATGCCAATACATACACAAAAGGAAGGGGAGAGGATAGGGGTATCACACAGCACAGGGAGAGATAACACGGCAGAAGACTTGACCATGGGATATGACACGGTACACTGAAAGTGCAATTCACTCCACTCAATCCTCACAACCAGTCATAGAGAAAAGCCGAGCAGATCACATCCAGGAAACAATGAAACGAAGATAGTCCAAACACAGTTATACACTGTTTCTTAAACTCAGAGTCTCGAATTGTCAGGATAACTTCAGAACTGCAGTGCACTGCTCAGAGATGAGCAGCGCTTCACTCCCCAACCCTGGTTAACACCCGGAACACCCCTGAGCCCCTGAAACATCAAGCGCCACCCAGATACAGCCTCCTGAGGGAAGCGCCACCCTAAAACAGGCCTCTGAGGCCAAGCGCCACTCAAAGGATGAAGAAGAAGACCAGCGCCACAGTATCTGATGATGACGAAGTGTCGGGCGACTTCCCGTGTGGAAGTCTGCAGCAGTGCCACCAAACCCTGACAAGATGACATCTGAGGAAGAAGCTGCAGCTATGGCTGCAGCACCGCAACCCTGGAACCCCACTCCGGAGGAGGGTCCAGCAGGGCACCAATCTCTCTCGCCTCCAGCAGACCTCGATAACCCAGACCTCTGTCAGCCCCTGCGTGCGGGCAGAGTACAGCACAGGTCCCAGCTATGGCCGGCGCTCCGAAGGTCTGGCTATGCCTGTCTTTTTCCACGCTGAGCCGTCACCACCTCCGGTTCACGCGAAGTGCAGCCACGATGTACTCGGTACCGAACTGCCAAAAGCCTTCAACCGATGTGCCCATCCTATCTATACTACACTAGCCTAGACTCGACCTAGACCGGACTGACCGACCGGTACCGTTTCTGTTTCGGTCTCTCGGCCTCTACCGGACCCGGCTATAGGCTTTAGGACCGTCTATCAGAGTAGGCCCTCAAGGCCTGTCTGTCCTAGCGGTAGCCCGGGCCTGCTGTTCGCAGTTAGGGTAGCTGTAGGGAATTCTGTTAGTACCGGGACTGCATATTTTCCCGAAATTGCAGATATGTCCCTCACGAATTTCCCTCACAGGTAGGTCTCTCGGTTAGCCCTCAGCCAAACAAAATTGCAAATCCGT